CGTAATTTTCCTGTTTCTCTCATTGCAGGAGGTAGCAAATAAAGGTGTTGGACGCACTGAAAAGATAGCTCAGTACAAGTTTCTGTGGCTCAGACTGAGCTACTTAACTCAGGATTTGGGAAATTCCATGGGATTCAGCTACGGGGCGCTTATCGTCTTGTGCTTCGCTGCTCAAGTGCTGTCTTGCTACGGCTTTCTGTCCAGCATAGGACAGGGGATAAAACTGACCCAGGTAACCCTCGCCGCGGCCACAACATTCATCGGCCTGCTATTGTTCTGCATCTGCAGTGCTGCCAACTGCGCTACTCAACAGGTGAGCTCTTGTGAGTGCGGTAATTTAAATTTTATAAAAAAAATTCTTACTGAGTGACTCTTACAGGAGTCTGCAAATAAGTAGTAGTAGGAAGAATATTAATACCACGTTTTGTGCAAATTATGAAGGCAAGTGCAAATTAAAATTTTCTGCACAATTTCTAGGTTGGAAGCAAATTTCAAGCGCGCCTGTACACACTGATACAGCAAAATCCATCAGCAAGTTTTCAGACCAGCAACGAGGTAAGCAGAGTTCTTATATTAAAGCCAAATTTGTATAAGAAAATGGACGTAATCCTTTGATTATTGCCTTAGTTTCTGTAATTAAGATACCGTAATCCCGTCAGCTATTCAAACAATAAATTTGGTCGCCATGGTTACGTATGGGTCTTAAGGATGAAGACTGTCATGATGCGATTAATCGACTTTTTTATACACGCGATTTCATTACATTAAACATCCTCAAGAGGCTAATTTCGGAGGATGACGAGATTCAGCCCTGGAGATGGACACAGTATGTTTGCCCGAAACGGTGATATCTATCTTAGAGTCTTCATAGCGTCGCAACCAAGGAGAAAGATAATTGTAAAATTTTAATAATCATTGAAAAATACACCCCGCTATGCCACTAGAAAAAGATTTATTTATTAAGAAACATGAAAAGGATCAATTATGACAATTTAATTTGGTTACAGATCCAGCTGTTCATTTCAACAATTTCGTCTAACCCACCTGCAATCAATTTAAGTGGTTTCGTGGTTCTTGACAGGGGAGTAAACACAGCTGTAAGTGACCTCTTGTCCAATTTATGGGAATTAACGTAAGATCAATTATTATCAATTTATTATTAATATTTTTTCCTTTTCAGTTGATATCTCAGATGGTCACGTACTTAATCGTCCTAATGCAGTTCCAGCTGAGCTCACTGGACGCAAAAGGAGACCTAAATTACACTAATTCCTAGCTGAAAATCGCAGGTTTAATGAACTCAATAAACTTTGTAGAAATGAGACGTAAGGTGACTTCTACTTACATAACTTTAAAACTTTAGCGACCGATGTAGTTCTGTATTTGTCATATATCCAATGTGTAATTTGTATTTAATAAAAAAATCAATATGTGTAAATATTAGCGTGATTATTATTTTGTTGAATACCAACCAAATTATGAGTTTGTTTTTTTAATTCAAATCTCGTCAATGATTATGTAATTAATTTACAACTTTACTTATATACGTAAGATGGACTACACTCTAAAAACAAAATAAAGTGTACACTCAGTAATACTTTTGAGGTCGTTTATCATCATTCTGCAATGTACCAATTAAAGAAATGATTTTATGTTTTTTGTTTTTAAAAACTGAAATTAAATAACACTAGAAAGAACACAATAACACTAACGGTAACTAAAGGAATATTACAAATAAATTTACAATTGAGATTAACAGGGCATGTAGAATGCATGAAGAAAGTACAAAGGCACGTAAATTGGACTGGAGTATGTCGTAAGAGGTCATTATGAAGTAAGATCTTATATCTGAGAATGTTTTAGCAAAGGCTATTTATTGCGTGTGAGATGTCTCAAAATTACGTCCAGTGACTGGCTCTGGTATTAATGGCGTCGAATCGTTTTAGGTTTTTCTGCCATACAGACGGTTAATTACTTAATTACAGCCTTAGACATACTTTATGCGATGTTTGTTCTGAATTTGCGTGATGGTTTGACCTAATTTTCGTACAAAAAATTATAGCAAAGTCAATCTTGAGCACCAAATAAATAATTGATTAGCTGGCCAACAAATTCCCGTTCCTGTATCGAACCCTAAGTTTCATTACCGTGTTTACATGAGTCAGTCAACAGACTAAAGCCAGATGCATCCAATCCACAACCTCAACCCCTACTTCTATAAGATTCGTTTTAATATTATCCTCCCATTAACCCCATTCCTCCTGCTTTGTTCCCTTAGAGTTTTTAAACTGATATTTTATATTGATTTCTCACATGAGTTATGACAAGTATCAAATACATATCAGCTTAACCCTACAAGATACACTCTATGAATTACAATAATTGTTTGTTAAATCTAAACACGAGATCTTGATGCATTTCAATTAAAATGTGTTCTGATAACATGCAAAGTGATAAATACATCAGATACTCCATAATATAACTCACATATCAAGATATAGTATTACTGTAACATATTACGACCCAGCTAAGTGATTGTCTTCATCAACTGAATGAACATTTATAATCTTTATAAAGCATTTTATTAAGCCTACTTTAATATTCCGCTACTTTTTTTCCTATGGCATTTAAAAATGTAGTTTAATCGAAAGCTGAAACTTCATTGGGTAGCAAACACAAGCCTTAGGTACTCACATGTGACGAGCTGATTCTCAGGTTATTTAATAACGCATTTCAGTTACGCGGGTTACATTCGTGAAGACAACAATATTCATACTTTTAGATGGAAAAGGCTTAAGTATTAACGAGAAGATAATATTAAAAGGGATATAGAAGAACTATTCATCAGGAGGTCGAATGGACTGAAGTGATTGAATATTAAGTGTATTCTGAAGTATTTATATTTCTTCCTAACAGATGGCGTGTATGTATGACGATGTTACATTGTAATAAATCGTTTTCAAAAATGACGACGACTATTACAGAATATGGAGGTTACATTCCTCCGAAACGTACGGCATCTAAATCTGCAGCACGCGTGTTTCCTCAGCCACTCTTTGTCTCGCCAATATCTCACACAGGTTCTGAAGACAGACAACCAGCAACAAACCTGTACTTTTCAGAATTATGGCCTCTGTTCTACTTGCTGAAACTTCTAGGGGTCTTTCCGTATTATGTGTCGTCCTCAGGTGAGTTAAGTGTGCTTAACTGGTTGCATTATGCAGATTTTATGTGAGACTTTTACATTAGCGTCTTCCAAATGATTTATTATTACTAGTGGATAATTAAAAAGTATGTGATGGGCTGGGCACACAGACGTGGAAAAAGCGATCATGACCTATTTTAAGTAACGCTCCTTGAATTTTCTTGGAGTTACTGACAAAGACTATGGAATATTTAATGACAGCTGTTATCATGTTTAAAATTCATACCCGGGAGCTACTATACATGGAAGGGAGTCAAATCACGGCGAATGTGTTTAAGTAATTTTAATAATGTTTATATTAAATTCACAGCCGTTTAAGTGTCTTGTCAGGTGAGTGAGTTAAACATTCCACAGACCTACTAAAGCTACTTGGTAAATAGAAGCATAGATTCCATACAATTTAAGTAAATTATTTATTTCATATTGTTCCTCATTTCATCCTGTTCCTCTAAACACCTGATTTCCTTCTGTTTTCTAATAATTTTCCTTTTGTTCAGTACCGGGTTCAAACCCATGGATGTAATTGTATGACGACATAAAAAGTTTTAAACCACTCGCTCAGGTTTCCAGGGTTCAACAATTTTATAAAATAGAAATATTTTCAGATATCTAAAGTTTATGTGCGCTGGTCTATTGCAGGTAAACTGGCGTTCAAGTTAATGTCCATGACTACTTTGTACGCTACAGCGTCTACGACTGTGACCACAGTCGGATCCATCCTCACGATCATACAGAAATACAGCAAACTGTCAGCCGAGAAAATGAAGTTTGAAGACGCAATAGTACAGATAAATCTGTTTGGGGGATTTTTCTTTATTGCGATCCTGCCATTTGTGTACTACACAGAAACTAGGAAAAGAATCCAATTTATCAACAGATGGGGAATCTTTCAGGTACGAAGTCGACGATCTTGGAATCTCGCCCAATTAATCCAAGGACAAACAATATAAATGTTTTTAGTGCGAGTAGATTTACGGCCTTTGAGATTTGTCAACAAGTCGACTCTTAACCCTTTGAAGCACGAAGCTCGTCTAAATATTATTTAATAAAGCAGTCCGTACCGCGAAGAAAACACAACACTTCACCATTACAAAGATCGATTGGTTGACGCTGTTTAAGGAAATAATCGCTGTTTACACTGAGAACAATCCGAAATCCATACATACAAAACACTGAGTTATTAACTGTGTGAAACAGGTGGTACATATAGTTACCACTGGGTCTTAAAGGGTTAAGTGTCATTTCTACAAGAACGTCAGTACTAACAGTGCTCATTCGAGCCTTGAAAAAAAAAAGTTGTAAACCTAATTCTGACGCTTCGCGTGTTTTAGGAGGAATTTCGACGGGTGACGGGCAAAACTGTGGACCTTGGTCTCGGACGCAGAGCGCGTTTCTTTGTGGTAATGAGCCTGCATTTTTCTGTATTTGGTGTCATCAGTCTGGGCGTACTGGTGGGAGGATTCAGCTGGTGGCAATACTGCATATCCGGGCTATTCGAGACTATGCTGCTACTGATGCCAGCCGTGTGGTACCTCACGTGTCGTGGATTAATCAGAGCCGCGAAGGCTTTGGGAAATGAAGTTGAGCAGGTATCTGAGTTTCATTAACAGCTCCAAATACGCAAACATGGCATCGGGCCGCAATTGACATTTTATAATGAGTATTCTCCCCCGTGTTCTTGCCAATTTCCGACCACCGGTAAGGAACGGGTAAAATATCCTATTACTCCAATCCTGTGACGTTAGAGCGAACGATGTGCTATTAACAAAGTGGATGATAAGGAATAACGAAGTTCGTATTAATGAGACGAGATTACAGCGAAGAACACGTAAAGAGAAATTTTATAACTCAAACCTTTCACTCGACATTATCAGGTTCATTCAAGTCAAGAAGGTTAGATGGACGGAACACGTAGCACGCACGGAGCAGGTGAAAAGTACATGTAGAATTTTAGTCGGGACACCTGAATGAAAGACGACACTTCGGACGTAGATGTGGTTTTATTGAATATATTCCTTGTCTACGAAAATCCTTCCATGTTAATGTACTCGATGGACCATACGACGTGTGTCTTCGTCCAACTTTGCTTTCAGAATCTCCTACACCACGGTTTTCGCCACACAGACGCGCTTGTCCAGTTCAAGTTTCTGTGGTTACATCTCAGCAAATTGACTCAGGACGCAGGACGTTCCATGGGCTTCACTTACGGAGTTTTCACTCTCTTCTGTTTCGGCGGCCTGGTGGTTTCCAGCTACGGGTACTTCGTTTCCGGAATTATCCTGATCACCCAAGGACTGGCATTTACCGCCTTCTTTTTCTCGACAATTCTCTACGTCCAGTGCACATTCGCTCAGCTGGCAACTGAAGAAGTAAGTAGTCGCAAATCAAACTGTTCAATCCGCGATGTAGCCGTTTCCTTCATCCCTAGAATGCGAACCACTGCAGTACGTTCGGCATTAAGAACAGACTGCTCGAGACACCACAGGAACTTTGCTCATACGTCGTTTGTAACCAAATTCTCAGGCTTTTTCCTCAGTTATTCAATTTTCCCCTCAAATCATCATTCAGCCATTGCTCCGTACCAATCTATCACCACCCTGAACAAGCAGCACATATCATACCCTTGGTGCTAAGCTAGGGACATCACATATAACCCCAAAAATTTTCTGGTCTCTGAGTAAAGGTACTAAGTTTAATGCAGTTTAATTTTATATCACCACACAATATTTTATAATTATAATTATTTATATCAGACTACTTCGCATTACCATCAAGTTTGTATATTTAATGGCAGGGAGTCCGGATAAGGGACGTCGAACCCACAGGGCTCTGAAAATCACAATGTAGTTGGAAAACAATTTATGTTTTCTATTACGTATCAACGTTAAAACGGATCTTAAAATGTAGAGTGCAAGTATCTGGCTGAGGACAGAGATCAGAAGCTAGCTCTCGTGGTCATGGTAACAGACTAGCTGACCAACTATCAGCTTCTCAAGAAGTACTTTACTCCACTGAGTTCCTTACGTATGTTGATTGTAATGACGGAAAACGATATAGAAGCTTGGGCAATTTGTTGCAGGTTGGATCAAAATTTCAAGATCGTGTCCAAATAATTTTAGAGAAGTATCCACTGATCAGTGGGACGCAAGAAGAGGTAAGACTGTTTATTTCGTGTGTTTCTTTTCTAACCAGACACAAGTACGCGAAGAACTCAGCAGTTCGCGTAACTTTAACGTTGGAATTCTATGAAGAAATTATATGCATAACAAGTTACTCAAATACTTAAATTTGTTAAAAAATCATTAAGGCAGAGACACACAGACATACTGAATCCTATTGAGTCGATCTTCATAGAAGGGGGAAATTAAAATGGCGAAATTTTACATAATATTACAGAATAAAAAAAAAAAACATTTAATGATAATGGACATGAATTACATTTGTGAATTTCAGATTCACAGATTTCTGGCCATGATCTGTTCCAATCCCCCTGTAATAAATTTCTGTGGTTTTGTAGACATCAACAGGGGACTTATAACCTCGGTAAGTAAACACAGGTCGTTCAAGTAACTAAACACCTAACCAACTAACCAACCAACCAACCAACCAACCAACAAAACTTTCAACAACGAGAAAAGAAATGTTCATCTCACCAACTCACATCCTCCTCACTCGGAACTGATTTCAATACTAGTAACTTGTACAGAATATGACTTTGTTTAAGATTTTCATTCACTCTGATGATTCTATTAATCTTGATATTTACTATCCTTTTCAGCTGATGTCACAAACACTCACCTACTTAATAGTCATGACTCAAATTAACAAAAACTAATGCACTGAAGAATTCTTCAATAATACACACTATAAGTTCTTCAGTTCCATGTCGTCTCTGGAAAATACATACACGAAAGCAAAAGGCTTATATAGTGGTTCACATTGATTTGTGCAATGAATTATATATTATAATATATAATGTGTGAAGAGCATTTGTCAATTTTATTTGTTTTTTGGTGTTGCTGTACTGAATTACATGTCTATAAAGAAATGTAAAACATGAATTATTTATTTCGATAATGGCTTACTACCCAACGCCCACGATCCTTCCAGTTAACAATAAATTAATACAACAAAAAATAATTTTGCGGTTCAATTGTGGAACAGGTTAAAATGGTATCCGAATATTTTTCCAAAACTATTATAGTTTTAACCCTTTGAAACCAAACCTCATCTAAATAATATTTAAGATTTCGGTCCGTACCGCGAAGAAAACACCACACTTCACCATTACGTAGATCGAGTGGTTAACGCTGTTTAAGGAAATAATCGCTGTTTATAGTGAGAATCATTCGAAACACATAAATAAACTCTGTGGACAAGATGCAGTCACCACTTTTTAAAGAAGTTAATTATCCATAACCACGTTCAAAGACTGACCTGAATTTCGTAATATCGTAAATTACACGAATGTCAAAAAAAATTGTACCGTTATAAAATAATCCCTCAAGTAAAATTTTTCACGGGTCATCATCGGGCATAAATTGATTTTGCATTATCCGCCATGTGAACTCATGTGGAAATAAATGCATTTCATGGCTCATTGAATAGTTTTAAACATCAGACAGTGTTATAAATACAGGAACTCATAAATGCATTAACCAATAGGCTAGCAGGTGAAACGACAATTGCCTGGGACCAGCTACTGTTTGGCAGAAAAACAAATCTGTCAGACTGTTTCGTTTGTAACCATACAGACATCCACAGGGCGTCATAAACCACAGGATCACAAACGACGTATGGGGCTGACTGAAGCAAAGCGATTTGTAATTTTTGTCTTGTTTTTTATGCACATGGGAGAATCTCGTTTTTCGGTGGACGTATTTTCCAGGATTACCCTCGGAGTAGCGGAGAGGTATCACTCAAAGCGCGTGTACTTGATACAGCGATCAACAGGAAGTCAAGGTAGGTCTTTCAGGAGCTGTATACTGAATTCTGAGATTACACTTGGTGATAAGATGGAGAAGATGACAAATTCGTCCAACACTTTGGCTGGAAAACCTTAAGGAAAGAGATAATTCGGAAGACCTAGTTGTAGATGAATTAAAATTGATAAATACATTCCACACTCCAAGCCTATTTCTCACACACCTTAAATCTGTTTTTTCCCTTCAACGTGAGAGACTATTTTTCAAAGACACGCAAAATAACAGCAAAATTTAAACTTTACGTCTTTTTAATATAGTAGACTAAGTGACAAAAGGTTCAGAACTATCTTTAGGATACACTGCACTGAATTTCCTGTACTTAGGCAAATTGGCATAGATCGTTCGCTTAATAAACTATGTGACTTTAACCTTAACTTTTCAGACGATCTGCAACGAAGTGTAAACTTCTTGAAAATAATATCGTCCATGGCGAAACACATTCTTGTAGCAACTCTCCCGACAGACAAATTACATGAAGCAAGATGCTTACACGGGAGTGTTTTTGTAACGACGCTCACTGCAACCGCGTTGCAGTCTCTCCTGTTACACGTAAGCACCCTCTACGTTCATTACTTTCGGCTACAATCACTTTAAACTGCTTGGAAAATAATTTGAAACCACAACTGAACAAATGCGGTTTGAAAATTGTACTCTTTTGAGGACACTGACATTCCAAAGGCACATCACGTGGGTCATCGTTGCACTAATTCGACCCAAGGCCACTGTCGCGGAACAAACGCCCCGGTCATGCAGTTTGCCTACCCAGCATGAAAACCGTCACTGACAGACACGTAGGAGCCCACACTGCCCTGGAGCGTGAAGAACACCTGAAAGTGCATGTCGTTTCAACATTTTGAACGCATTACATCCTTCTCGGGCACTGCGCCGTGTAGCCTGACAGAAGTTGACCGACGTTTCAGAGGAGCGTAATGCCTCTATCATCAGGGCGGAGGGCAAGCCTGAACGGCCTGATGATGGAGGCAGTATAAACTTCTGAAACGTCGGTCAACTTCTATCAGACTACACGGCGCAGTGCCCGAGAGAGCTATCATCTTTGCCTTCCGATAAAATTCGACTTCATTCTATCTCAGCAGCTGAAACAGCGTCGTTAAAGAGCTTAAGAATAGATTAAACATTTAAGGTCCCGTGTTCCGGTACGAAGTGGCTGGTGTTCATAGCAGCAGACACGTTACTGGTCCAGGAATTCATCGCCGATGTCAACATCCCGTTTGGCTGCCGGCTGCTAGCAGCGCAGAGCGAAGGTGACAGCGGACGATTAACACTAACAGAGGTGTTCAACTTTCCGCCCACCCTACCGCCTCAGATGTACCGAGTTGCTGACTGGTGTCCAGATAGGGGATTCACCTGGTATACTTCCCCGTTTCGCCAGAAGATGGTAGATCTTCAGGGAGCGGTGATAAAAGGAGCTTACATTTTTGACGTAAGTAACTAACTAAACATGTCAAGGGTTTTAATCTCAGACTCCGGTTGTCTGTATTACGATGTCTTACACTGTAACAGGCATCGCTCAACGCTCAAGACAGACCTTCGACGTTAAAAATCCTAAAATATCATAAGATCAGGAAGGGTGAGTCTACACTTGACGTTAGTTCTCAAATTTTAAATAGTAAATTTCTATCTCTGCAGCCTCCATTCGTGAATAGCCCCTTAGAAGAAGGCCACCCGGATTACATGCACAATCTGTGGAGGGAAATGCAGCGTCGGATGAATTTCACGTGAGTCTACGACGACCTGAACTGTTTCATAAGTTACATTTTTAATTGTCAACAGCCGTGATGCTACTGCGACGTGGAAACACAGTTAATTCTGTTTTGTAATCATAAATTTGTTATCGACAGGACTGTGTATCTCCGGACCGAAGACCGAATACTGGGTTACAAAGACCAGTACGGGGCGTGGCGTGGTGTGGTCAACGAGTTGGTCACCAGGAAAGCGGACGTGGGGATTAACCTCCTTGCGATGACCACGGAAAGGCTTGAGGCAATAGACTTCCTGCCGCCCATCCTAAATGACAGGTTAGGCGGCGTCAGCTTTCGTCTGCGTTCCGACTGCCTCAGACTTTTAACGCTTAAAAATGGCGGACATAGATTCTGTTGTGTATTTGGGCCTACATCTTGAAGGGAACATTAAACGACCGTAATATTTTGTGTATCTTATTCCGTAGACAAATTTTAAGTAATAATCTTAATAAAAGGAATATTTAACGTTACAAATAATAATAATAATAATAATAATAAAGCAAAAAGTAATTCTAATAATTATAGGAGCAACTGGAACTGTCTCCAAGTCACTCAGAAAATATTTGGCCAACATTCCGGGCGAAGACGACATCAGGGAAATGCAGAAAACTGCCATTTTGGTATCTTCACATATCATTCGAAAGATGCTGTCGTAAAATATTTAGTCATCCCTCACAATAAAACTATATAATGCATGTAATACATATTAAAAACAAAATGTATCTCGGAAATACCTTAGGGACAAGGTCTGTCTCGGGTACATGGGAGTACATACCCCATAAAGTGGTGAATAGATGTGAAATAATTTGTTTGTTCGCAGAATGATGGTACATATACGAAAAGACAAAATGGAGATCAGCACAGTTCGTCATATACTGTCTCCGTTCGCACTCAAACTGTGGCTAGCTGTTAGTTTGGTTATAATTGTGTTCGCTGTGCTTCTAGCTGTAACCGCGGCCATAAATCTAAAGTACAGTCACGAAAAGGTTCTTGCGCTACGTCACTTCAGTCTCCAGAATTCGTGGTGGTGTGTGCTCGGAATTTTCTGTCAGCAAGGTAAGTGAACGTATCGCACTGCAAAGATTATTAAGATTAAAAATCTTAAACGAAAATTATGTAACATTGCACTGCATTGCCCGTTGTTTGTAACGTTTTATATGTACGACGTTTCTTTGTGTTTTAATGCCTTTATCTCGATTATAAGTAATTATAAAAGCTGCCTAATGGTATCATGCTGTACGAATAATAAATAATCGATAGCGACTGTCGAGATATCGAATCATCCTGCAGGCCAGGATATCACACCTCGATCATGGTCCTGTCGCCTGGTCCACGCGACGCTGTGTCTGACGGCCGCGGTCCTGTTCGCTGCATACTCGGCCACCTTCGTCTCCTTCCTCACCGTGAGGCGTTACGAGCTGCCGTTCTCCGACTTCCGGGGCCTCTTGAAGAACGGGAAGTACCGACTTGGAATACTCCATGGGTCTTCCACTACAAATTACTTCCAGGTAATAACAATTTCAATTACGTGTCATATTTTGACAAGAAGCTGATATTACGTTCAACATCAAAATTTTTCTCATTTTCTGTTCCACTTCACCTTTTCAGAGCCACTAAACTGTCAACGGGTCGCTAGCTAATTGTAAAATAACAGATGTTACAACTGGCATGACTATTATTAGAAGCAGATACAAACTAAAAGCCTCACAACGAGAGGGACTTATAATTTAAAACACAGATTTTAAGTCGATAAAATCTCCTCGGGCAATCAGCCGCGTTAACTGGTTACCGTAGTAAACCGACGTTTCGGGAACCAACTCTATCCCCATCATCAGGGTTAACGCGGCTGATTTCCCGAGAAGATTTTATTGATTGTAATCGTCGCGAAAGTCTCAAATCCTATAACAGAATTTTAAGTGTTTAAGCGCCAATGCCAGAAGACATTTTCATGTAATTTCGTAATTGCTTTGCAGAAGGCAAGAGATCCCATTCTGCTTGACGTATACAAGAAACTGATACAACCAAATGAGGACAGTTTTGTAGCGGATGACATAGAAGGGTTACGAAACGTCTGTCACTCACACAATTACGCCTACGTCATATCAATTTACAATTCCATTCCGGCGCTGTCAAAGTACATACATTGCAGTATCACCGGAGTTCCCGAAGCCTATTATTCTTACACAGCATCAATCATAATCACCAAGGATAATCCATACAAGAAGCTATTTCAGCGACAGTAAGTCGTTAAATAAACATTTGATCCAAAATTTATACCTGCCTTAAGATGTTTAAAATTTTAAGATGGCTGTCTTCTGGGTTGTAGTCTGTTACAAGACAGCAGGTGCCTCTGAAACGTCGGTAAACTTCTACCACATTACACGCCGCCACAACAACTCAGAAGACAGCCTTGAGAACCTCAGATTCTACTTAGTATTTCATTACACGTAACACGCACAGACAGTTAATCGGTCTACCCATGTGTTATATTTCCAGCGTTCAGGAAATGAGACGGTCTGGCATTCTGAACCGCATAAGGAAAGACGCCTGGTGGGAAGATTTGGAAGACGATTTTCGAGGTGCATCGGCTGGTGGTACAACGCTGGATACCGTTACAGTCTTCTACCACATTCTAGCCGCAGGTCTACTACTGTCCACGTTCCTTGTAGTTCTGGAAAAGATGTGGTGGAAAATGAGAGTTCAATTCAGAAACAAATCTTGATCCGTCGGACTGGACAGACTTTGCCGACGGACCGATCTCAAAAATGTCTGTACTCACACAGAATTAAAAGAATCGAGTATACGTTTACGTGGTCCACACGTCACATTTTCGATTCTTAAGTGCGATATATCGGACTTAATTTAACTTCATTAAGAACTGGATAATATGCTATACTGTTACACTACACAGGTCAATTACTTAACGATGACTGGAATTATACCACTTGTATGTTACGTTATCTTACGTCCGAACAAAATCTAATCACACTCATATAAATTATATCAACATGCAACATTACGCACAGAATTACAGCCAAATTTTACATATCGTTTACATGTGTGCTTAATTAAGTACAACGCCACGAAGTTTAATAGGTGAGTGGCGCTTAATGGAGGATGAGAAGTCAGCATCACGCTCCGGCCAATTTACCCCGTTAAAATATTTTCTGCCCACATTAATAGACGGCAAGTTTTTAAGATGCCCCAGCCGGTAATCGAATTCTGCTTCTCCAGCCCATGGCCTAGAAGCCTGAAAGCCTAACTTTCTCATAAAACACATAATTACATTACAATCAGAGCCGTGAACAACATAATTCACACAAGTGACACTATGTTAGCGTACTGTCATATTGTACTTTGATCTATTTACTGTCATTTAAGTTGGACAATGCCACACGATAAACTCAGAAGAAACAAAGTAACCTTATATACAGGGTGTTCCAAAAACTACAATTACACGGCGTGTCACGAGGGTGAAAAGGTGAGTCGATGTTTCTTTACGGAACTACAGTCATATGATTTTATAAGGGCTACAGATGTGAAGGCAGTGATGAAAATCGATGTATTATGACCACAGACAGTTTAGTCAGAGAAGCGAACACAAATGAAAGATCAAGAATCGATTCTCGGCAGGGACAAATTTCGTCACCACGACCGAACCAACTCTGGGGCCCACCAGTCCATCTGTTCAATGTGATTCCGAAACAAAGCGCCCGATTTTTCCGAACATTTCTGCTTCGTGCTCGGCAGATCCCGCCTTCAAATATAGGACCAAAGACCGTCTAATCTAACAAACAATGTTCGTGGTTTTTCTCAACATAACCAATGAAATTCCGTGACAACAGCTTAAATCGGACCACGGCCGCTTACTCAAATATACTTTCCACTTTGTTCTTCAACAATCATCAGACCATTAGACGCTGTATTTTGAGATACTAGCAACACTGTAAAACAAATAATAAGAAAATAAATTTATTAAGGATATTATTAAATAAAACTGTTGTACTATTACAAACAACATCCGGTCGCAGGTCGGATAAATGTCTGGCCTCTGGCAGAACCATATCAGTCGGAAGTAACAGTGACTTATTTCAGAAACACCCTGTATATTTTCCTACGTGTAACAAATTGGTATTTATATTTTAAGTATGGAACACATATGAAAGCCACAAGTTCTGATACAAATGTTGTAGAAACTGGGCAAAATAAATCAGAAACTTTGACATGTCAAAAGGGAACATATAAAAGCTAAGAATCCGATTTGATAGTTTCGTTTTACGCTGTCTCTGCATTGTACGGTCCGTCACTTCGAAGGTTTAGATGAGGACTCACACGCTCCTGTCCCTTTTGGCTCTCTCGAGAGCAGCAAGTTTATCTGTTGAGACGGTAGTCGATGTTACCAACAGTGTGATGAGGCGGTATCTCTCGACATGTGTGTGTATTCTACAGTCCTCACTACATCAAGGTATTTTCTGTTACTCAAGAGAAAATCTACGGCCCTGTCAAAAAAATATAAGGCTTTAGCTCTGTATAGTATAGCGTTCTAACAATTACGTTTCAAATATACGAATATCTATATCAATGATGATGATGATGAGTCATTTGAATAAAAAAAAAATTCTTGGATATTATCCATCGTCTAGTAACTAAAATATAAAACGTAAAACGACGTTTCGGAGATGGGGGATTAGCTCTATCTAGTGGGCCCAACTGAGTAGGAAACTGAAGACGGAGATAGAGCCCCATCTCCGAGACGTCGTTTTATGTTTTATATTTTAGTTACAGACGATGGATAATATCCAAGAAATTTTTTATTCAAATACGAATATCTAGCCATACATATAAAACAATAGTACTTCTGCACTGACAAAGTCAAAGATTTTATCCTGAGTAACGAACAGTAGATAAAATGTAGTTCCTCATGTGTGTTCTTCGTACTAAATGATGGTTGACAAACTCACGTTGGGATAGCAGGAGAGGATTAATCTGTGCCCGGGGAGAACGTAACGAGATTTAACTTTAATCACAGTGACATGATACCTTCCTTTCTGACTCAGAAAAGGGCGACATTAGCCCTTATCTGTCTCCTGACCTGCCCTAATTTCTGTCCAATCAGCTGTTTGCCCACAGCTGAATGAGCATCTTTACAATTCTCACTCCGTACCAGAAATTAAGGATCAATGAATGAACAAGGCGGGACATGTGGCAGACGTGGGGCAAATTCACGGACCTACAAACGTTTGATCAGAAAACCTGAAGGAAACAGACCACTTGGAAGACCTAAGCATAGATGGTAGGAAAACAAAAACTGATGACGTACAATATATTGGTACTCTGCACGTAGACATTCAATGAAATGACATTTTTATAACCTTGCGCCCTTTTTACGGGACACCAATTGGACGTAATGTAAGGTATAACACGGTTATGTCCAATTAGCGAATATTTACTTTCGGATTACGGGTGGTCATCATCATAACGGGTCTTATGTCGTCTTTTGCTTGGAATGGGTGTCGCATGGGAAAGCTGACAGTTGTTGCACGGCTCACAACGTTTCTGAATATATTATTTCTTGTCTTCTGCATTTCCCGTCAATAGGACGGGTGATGTAGTATTTGAACCACGCGTACGTAAAACTGACATTTTTTTTTTCGAAATACGGTAAAATGTTGGCTGCACAACAGAACTACATTTATTTTGTAGTTTTTAGCACAAAACTCTAATAAAAAGTTATTGAAAAAAAAACAGAAATTATACACAAAGGACGGTATTCTTGAGCGAACAAGGAAGAATATGTCCGACTTAAAGTAATTAATCAAATTACAAAAGTGAGAAAAATATAGCCGTATCATTTCCGTTCATACACAAAAGAAGCCGACATATTTATCACTTAGAACACACAGCTACTGTGACAGTGATGGATGTACCAGAGGTCGATGTTGGCTCCTTTCATATTTATAACGCTAAAGATCACGAGATCAATATAATTTGATATCATCAGTATTTTCAAAGTTCCGAGTGTCGTAGAACACATCATAAACGCCACTTATATTCAGAAGCAGACAACATTTGGATAGATTTCCTGTCGTTATGCAATCTTAAATACATATTTTGTCAATCCGTGAATGTTCAATAATATGTAGGCCTGTGTCTTGCCAAATGAGAACAATTTATAATAAGAAAGAAGTTAATTTCTAATTTATTATTAAAACCACAAAAGTTTTCGAAGCATACGAGGCTTATAGAATTTCAATTGCTCCTGTCTGTTTCAGATTGGCTTCGAGCCCTGAATTCAGCAAAACTCTTCAAGTCAGTGTCCACAGGCTATGTGCCTGTGTCATCAGGATCGCCAGACATGTTCGCAAAACTTCCGCATATTCACCATGCGAATCTTTTGTACGTGATTCGCGCTGATCTTACTACACCAACGATCTTGAAACAGGTCACGCATTTTTATGTGCTGCTTTTTTTGTTTCGGCAATGAGCATTTTAATAAGGTGCGCCAATCACCTTGGTAACTCCTCTGCGTATTGCTTTCTTATGGGAAGTTTTAGGGTGTCTGATAACAGGGTGCATACAAAACGATTTGGACCTGAAAAGGAGAAGTGACAAGAAGATTTTTAGTCATCGCTAGATATTATTAAGATGATCAAATTAAGAATGATGCGACGCGCATGTAGGTAATACGAAATGAGAATGAAATTTTGGTTGGGTAATTTAAACGTAACAGCCCAATAGGATAACCTAGAAGAAGATGGGAGGATAATATTAAAGTGGAGCTAATAAATAGTGTGGAGACTTTGGACTGGATTTATCTGGCTAATGACAGGGACCGGTGGCGATGGATCTTGCGTTCCAGAAATGTTGGAAAAAATTTTGTCTAGCTGAGCCACTATTAGTTCCTCAAGAAGGAATATGTTTCACGATTAGAAGATTCCGAAGTTAGTTCGAATCGGACTGACACAGTATTTCACTTCAATTTCAGCTTTCGGAAACAGGAAACATGTCGAAAGGAAAATGGCTGTTATTCTTCGATTCCATGACGTCACTGGAAGAGTTCTTCGCCGACATTTACATTCCGCTCGACAGTGAGTTCGTGGTGGCGCGGAGTTCGAACGGGACGGAGGACGGAGACTCAGGAATATCAGTCGTGGAGGTGTACAACCCGCACCCCAACCAACCCCTGAGGGAGAACACCGTCGCGACGTGGAGCTCCGGCGAGGGGCTCATATGGACCCCAGTCTCCTTCTTTGATAGAAGAGGTGACCTCCAGGGCATCTCGCTTAAGTGCGTAATGGTTAAAGAAGTAGGTAACAAATTTGCCCGATGCCAGGATATGAGTCAGATAATTATAACCAAAGTAACTGTTAATTTTCAGCCGTCATTGTCTCAAACACGGCTGCGACACCGAAAGAGTGCAAGATTTAATAAGATTTATTGTACTCCACAGCCTCCATACATTCAGTATCCGAAAGACACGGCACTGGAGACATCGCACGTGTCCGGATATTCAATTCAATTCCTGGATCTATTTAAACAAAAAATGAACTTTACGTGAGTAACTCTCCTTACGGATTGGGTGAATAACATTTATGAATCATATCATGTCATAATAAAAGTAAAATGCAACTAATCCACGTCGAATAGTAACGAATTATTTTGTGTTTCATTTCTATCAGAGTGTGGGTTCATAGTCAGCACGTGCCCACGATAAAGTACTTTAATTTCTATGATACAGATCGGAGTTCTTGGTCCCAGAAGACGGAACTGATGGTTCGAAAAAAGTGCGCGGCGTTTGGAGTAGCTTTATCGGGACGGTTGCATCGAGACGCGCCGAAATAGGTCTCAACCTGATGACCTTCACAAGCAGTCGCTTAGACACCATTGATTACGTTCACCCCCTTGCAGATTCTAGGTAAACAGAAGCCGAAGCTCGTCTAAATAATATTTAAGAATTCAGTCCGTACCGCGAAGAAAACACAACTCTTCACCATTACGAAGATCAATTGGTTAACCCTTTGAAGCCTACGCTCGTCTAAATAATATTTAAGAATTCAGTCCGTACCGCGAAGAAAACACAACTCTCCACCATTACAAAGATCAAATGGTTAACACTGTTTAAGGAGATAATCGCTGTTTACGCTGACAATCATACGAAACACATAAATACACTCCGTAAGCAAAATACAGACGAAATATTTCTTGAAGAAGACTCAATGAGAGTTAAATTTTGTCACACACTGTACCCGCCACTTGTTCAAACACTTTGTTCTTCAGAGCAAGGTTACAACAAGTTAATGCGTGTTCTCGTTTCGCCAGAGTGACGATCTTCATCAAGGACCCTGACATCTCGTTCGACGGTGTCACACAAATCGTGTCACCGTTCACCGCCAGACTATGGGAGGTGATTGGTCTGACGATGCTGCTCATCTCTGCCTTGCTTTGTACGCTGTTCTACAACGGCAGTGAAACAACCAATTACAGACTGTATAACTCCATATTTTACGTGTTTTACATCTTTTGCCAGCAGTGTAAGCACATTATTCCCTTTGAATAATCAGAAAACACGTTTCTGAAGGATCAGCTTCAAAGTAGTACAGAGATAACGCATTTCTTCCAGCTGCTGGTATATCACCGCGGTCCTGGGCGAGTCGTCTGATCCATTTCACTACTCACATCACATTTTTGATTGTGTTCATCGCGTATTCTGCCAACTTCATATCACATCTGACAGTTCAAAGGAGCAGACTGCCGTTCAGCGACTTTCAAGGACTTCTTGATGATGGAACTTACGGGCTGGGTGTCGTTTATAACAACGCACATGAAGATTACCTCAAGGTACTTCGCTTCACACACAGAGTTCCTTAGATAGCGCAGGCAGCCTTCAGAGTGCATAAAAGGTGTGAAATTTCATAATCAGCTGAGAAATTATCAGTTCATTAATAAGGGTTTTCTTCTACGGAGTTAAAAAAACTATGATAAGAGTACGGATTATGAATCTCGTCTCGATTAACTCTCTCAAGCCAAGCAAGTTTAAAACCACATCTAAGAATCCAGTCCGTACCTCAAAGAAAACACCGCACTTCACCGTTACTAAGATCAACTGGTAAACGCTGTTTAAAAGGAAATAATCGCTGGAGAGTTTAGCTTTCTATCGGCATGTACTATGTTACCATCCATTGCACTAATCAAATCTAGCGGTTTTTTGTAATGTGTCAGGGAATTATGAATAACCCTGTATTATGTTCAATCGTATGCATAAATGTTTTCAGAACTCGAAAGATCCAGTTATAAGAGATGCCTACAGGACATTGGTCGAGCCAAAGAGAGAGGAGCTCCCACGACATACACTGGTCGGATTAAGCCGCTTATGTGACGAAACTAAGTACAGCTTCTTTTGTTCCAAAATAACGGCAAGCGGATCAATGCAGAATTTGTCCTGCAATATTATTGAAATCAAAGAAATGTCCTACAGGATAACACTGTCTTTTGTCATCAATAAAAAAAGTCCCTACAAGAGATTCTTCAATCGTCTGTAAGTATATTTGTCAATTAATACAATTAAGTCCACACACACACGTGCCCATCTCATTAATATGCGTTGGGACAAATATTTCCTTCATTTGATTAACAGTTTAAAAATATTTCTTCAATTTATGTTTTATACGACATGACCAGTTTATATTATTCCATTCCCATAATGTAGTTTGTTTGCTATTAACCATGTGACATAAAAAAGTAAATAATTTGCTGCCCTGAAAAAGGCGGCAGAATGTTCCTCCGAAATTATATACATCCACCTACATGTCTGCACGGCGTAACTACTCAAAAGACCAACTCCGACACCTTCAGTCGTGAGAATCTCAGACCTCAAATTTGTTAATCGCGGATGTATAAAATAAATTCTGCTTATCGACTTGGTGTTTCAGTAGCTTAGACCTCAAAAGCACCGGAATTATTGACAGAACTAACAAAGCCTTCTGGCCACCAATCATGGAAAAAGGAACAAATGAACATCACACACTTGTCACCCTCGACATGGTTTCCATTGTCTACGTCATGTGGGCAGCGGGAGTCTCAATATCTGTCCTGATACTGTGTCTCGAAAGGCGACTCCGCGCACGAACTTAACGTACTCCATGGAGTGGAATTCTTCATAAGGTTACAGTCGTTCACCTAGTCAAGAAAATCCATATATTTTATGGATCTCGAAGATTCATTACCGGCTCGAGAAGAGCCTGCCACTGGACCCCATGTTGAGCCAGATTAATCCAATTTACGCACTCAAACACTATAACTTTGCACATATGTGATACTTTTTCTAAATCAGAGCTTTTTAAATGCAACTATTGTATAAGACAGCATATAAGGAGTGTCCACAAAGACCCGGACGGGCTTGGTATTGGACTTCGAAATGATCTATTTTTTGCTCTGTGCACACTCCCTAAAACTATGATAATAAATATATGTAAGTGTTATTGAAAATATTTTTCTCTTAGGAAAATAATTATATATGCACAAAACTGTATTTATGCACTTAAGAAATGTAGGTTTCATGTGTTACTGGAGAGAATAAAACTCTCTGCTATATAACTAACTAACTAGATGGCTTACCGAACCCGAAGGTTCATCACCGAATTAACCAAAGCCCTCCACCGGACCCTGTCCTGGGCCAACAAAACCCAGTCTCCTTCAACTCCTATCTCCCTTAGATCTCGCCTGAGATTATCCTCCCATCTACGTCTAGGTCTCCCCAGAGGTCTCTTCCCCTCAGGCTTCCCAACCAGTACCCGGTGCACACCTTGTCCCATCCATGCGCGCTACATGCCCCGCCCATCTCATTCTTCTCGACTTAATCACCCTGACAATACGGGGGGAGGAATATAAACTTTAAAGTTTGTCTTTCCTAGGCCTAAATATCCTCCTCAACACCCGATTCTCAAACTCCTGCAATCTGTGTTCCTCCCTCTGAGTGAGAGACCATGTTTCGCACCCATACAAAACAACAGGCAAGATTATTGTTTTGTATACTTTAATTTTCAGGTTGCATATGATAAGCTAACATTAAATATTCTTTGCAACGCTTAGCTTAATGAAACTTAGAACTAAAAGGCGTTTAATCTGCTCTGACACGGTGTCAGAATAAAGCGATTTCATATGAAGAGGAGGGAAGGGTTTTCGGTATTGCATTACCTTCGACCCTAGACACTTTCGAGGTACGTCGTCCGCTATTTTCTGTCAGATGCATCATCCACCCACGCTGGCTTACGTGCAGTCTGAGTGATATTCAGTAAACCTTTAGGATTACAGGATACTGTGTTTGAATATGGATGTAGCGGTAAATATTTTAGCTGGAGTCATCCCTCGTCTAAAGACTCGTGTGTCTAGACTAAATAGTCCTTTAGATTAAAAATGTCGGATTGTAGAACGAAAGAAGAGTTTGAAATATACAATTCGCTGTTCAATCCATGTGACTGATGACAGCCGTCTGTCCACACAGCCTTTGTCTCGAACAGCAGAATAACTCATACGATTTATCAATTTAAGAGTTAGTTTATTTGGTACTGATCTGCACGTTACAAAACTGTCTGTGTTGGTTCAGGTGGACTCCTCGGTCCCCGCCTAGATTAAGCAAGCGCCTTATTCGTCCGCTACCACATCATCTGGTACCTCCTGCGCTACGCACGTTGCAGTATCACGGGAGCAAACAAGCCCAGCGGCACACTCGACCACAGGCGGCGGTCCGCCAATCATTAGTGTGATCCCGCAGTTACTTCCTTCGGCTGAAACATATCGAAGAAAATACGCTATTAAAGTAAAACAAAATGACGGAAAAACTATAGCAATCAACACTCTTAGTCGTAACTATTATACCGTTTATTTTATTTTTTTATTTAGTGTTCTGTCTGAGGACAGGTCCATATGAACAGGATCCTTCCATCCTTTTCTCGGACTGGGACCTGTTCATATACGTTCTTGGCAGATGATCCAGAAGTGGTTTGCCATTGCCTTCTTCTGTGTGTGAATGGAGTAATTGTTGGGATGCCACGGAGGAAAACTCCGTGTTGCCTAGACCACGGCCTTGCCCAACACAAGTTATAAATTCGGGCGCCACCGGGAATCGAACCCAAGACCCCAGGATTACAAGGCCAGCGCTTATAATAACAATACACAGTCGATAAAGATAAAAATCCCTCAGGACAAAATGGTCATTAACGAATAAGGAACGTTTTCAGCGTGGAGACACTAAATTGCGATTGAATCTTGGTGTACACCTCGTGGCTGGCGAGTCGATCGTGTATTTGGCGAGAAAGTGTGTTACTTGCGACGATTACCTAGCTGCGTAACGCACGTGCGACAACATCCGCAGAAGGTCCCTTGCTCATTCAGGCGCTGGTCCGGTCCACACGGCGGAGCGCTGTCTCCAGCAGCAACGGCACAGTCTACGGTGGTACAGAAGTCTTCGGTGCACCGAATAATGCAAGACACAGCAACGACACACACTCCCAGGACGAAGAGACGAAGAATTACTGTCATGGCTGACGTTTCGTCTATCAGAGGAAAAGTAACGGATGTCAGTGGCTTACAGTTGGATCTCACGACGATGCCAATGTCCGTCTTCTGGTATTTATTTACGTTTCAGACCTGCTTACTGCCTCCATCATGAAGACAATGACGACAGAAAGCATCTCTGAAACGTCGGTAAGCTTCTACCACACCGCACAGCGGAACAACCCAGAAGACAGCCATCTTCATACTTGTCGCCGTGAGAACCTCAAATCTCACTTGATTATATTTCGTCACTTAGTTCCAGTCGAAAGGAATTAAGTCAATACAGCATGGTCCTTCTCGAGAAGCTGACAGTCGCTAGAATTTTTAAAATATTCCCCATCTTTCACTGATAGAGATTATTCTTTTGAAAGGCCCAGTTAATGGGGACTACTAACTTTCCCCAGATGAATCCACTTCTCACCAAGACCTGAATTCGTTAAAATTCACTTCAAAATTACTCCCATTAATGTTAACTTTTTCTCACCTCGGCATCTCTGAAATGAGTATAATTATGAAGATTTCTGTCTTCTGGGTTGTTGCGCTGTGTAGTCTGGTCGATGTTAACCAGCGTTTCAGAGGTCATACTGCCTCCATCATCAGAGTATGAAGATTTCTGTCTTCTGGGTTGTTGCGCTGTGTAGTCTGGTCGATGTTAACCAACGTTTCGGAGGTCATACTGCCTCCGTCATCATCACCCTGATGACGGAGGCAGTATGACCTCTGAAACGTTGGTTAACATCGACCAGACTACACAGCGCAATAACCCAGAAGACGGATATCTTCAACAAGTACATTACTTACGTTTTTCTCGGCGATGCTGGTAAAGGAGAACAGACGTGGAGCAACTGATACCAGTAGCCCACATCTCGGTCCCTTTTATACCACGAGATAGCCTCACATCTGTGTCGTACTTTGTTGTTTTCTTCCTAAATTTCACGTAGTTCAAACAAAGGTGTTTTCGAAACACTTTACTCACGCACTAATAAGACTCCTTTTTTAAGTTCCATTAATAGCAATTAATCTTCCTTATTAAGCAGGCCATGCGAATATTCAAGGTTAACCACGCATCAGGATAAAATTGTGCCAACATTAACAGATCCAATGTAATTCGGGCGAGAACTAATTCTGTTTCTTTCGAAGAAACAGCCTTCACTCATCGATTGCTTTCAATTTGAAACTTTTCAAGCTTCGTGAGATATCTACGTGGTGATATTTCAGGTTCTCACTGCGCCGAGAACGAAGACAAAACTTCTGGAACGTTGAATATTGTATCCCGATAGTTTACCGACGTTTCAGAGGTGTTTTCTACCACCATCCTGAAACGTTGATGAACTCCTAGCAGACTATACGGAGCTACAACGCAGAAAAAGCCATATTCGAAATCACTGCCGTCATAACCTGAGGTAGTTTAGAGGTATGTTTAACAGTAAAAACAATTTCTAACTATTTCAAGCACGAATGCAGTTCCCCAGGCGGTGCCCGCTCGTCCTTCTAGTAAAGGTAGGTTCAAGAGAAAGTAAGCAAAAAGTTCATCCAAAATTCTAAGAATCGTATGAAAAACACAAATACACTCCTTGGGCACGAAGCAGAGTTATTTAATGTTAAAAAGGTGGTATATATAGTTACCACTAAGTTTCAAGGCGTTGAAATAGGGATCAATACCAACTCTATGGTTCAGAGTATTTCTAAAGACTTTATATAATCACTCAGCTGATTAATAAATTCCCTATTTTTTTTTTAAAAAAACCTGGAATTTCATTGCCGTCAAGACAACAGTCAATGGCTTGAGACAATTGCATATGTAGCATTACGAACATTTAATAAAGGATGTTTTCCTCCCTTAGGTAAGCAAAAGTTCCTAAGCTCAGAGGGAGTTATTCGTGTGGTAGTGATGTGACTGTGTCAACCATTCGACTACAGCGCGCTAATTGCATTCTGTTGTCGGTCTGTGACCTCTTTGGGCAACGAATCAGCTCGACACACACACACACGTGTCTCTACGTCTTCACTAAATCTTACATAACCACGTATTTTTCCATTAAAACACGCCATTTCAGTTGGCAATTCTATTTGTGTTGCGTACTTTAAGCGTAAATCTCGCGATTGTTAGAAGATAATTGGTTGTTTCCGTAAAAACAGAACTTTCATATAAATACTAAAGAGGTATATATGTCACATTCAAGGTAAAAACATCGCCACGTTTCTCTAAGTAAACTACTTATTTACCTCAGTTATCAGCTGGAAAACTAGTCCGAACCATGAACATGAATTACGACCGCAAACAAATTAAGACATGGAATTTAAGGTTATCGCGTCGGTGAGAATGACGAGTTTGTTTTAACCTTAAGCAGATACCGACGTTTCGACAAAAATTAATGTCTCCATCTTTAGGGTGAATCTACACCGGGTGAAAACCCAGAAGAAAAATACCATCACATTAAGAAATTGGTTAACTACATTTCAAACTAAAAATCGAACATTACATTTTTAAAAAAAAAATCAGAAACAATCTGTGTGAAAGATCTCTGACCAGACATTTTGCTGGTCTCAGACTAAAGTATAACAGTCAAGGGATTCTTTCTTCTTGGCCGATCTGCGTCTGTACTTCTTAAAAATTAGGAAATGTTTCCACAAATGTCAAAGCAATGTGTGTGTGTTTCTGTGGGATTAATTAATGTCCATAGATTACATCAAAAGCAGATCGATTTTTAGTAATAGGTTTACTATCTCTGTCATCACTACGTCATACAAATACAACTAAAATATTCAGCCATGTTTAGCCACAATATGCCTAAAAATTTATTCAGAACCTGTAAAGTCATAACTCTGAAATTATGACAGACCGGGCCAAAGTTAGTCAGCCGAATTACGTAGGCGCACGATGTACAACAAGCGGAAAATTAATTTTTAATTAATATATCTTACCTAGTCATAATAAAGTTTTTAAAATTTATGAATCTTAAATTAAACGTGACACTGCAATTAACAAAACAATTTTCTACTTCGGATTTAAATTTCTCACGACCATAAAAATGGAGGCAGTATGTTCCTCCGAAACGTTGGCAGCTACATACAAGTCCACAGATCGTCGTGTACCAGAAGATCTACGTCGACAATAAATATGAATATCTTCTGGGGTATTGCGCCATGTGGTCTGGTATAAATTGTCCAATGTTTCAGAGGTACTACCTCCGTCATCAGGGTGATAAGTCGGTGAATTTCTACCAGATTACGCGGCTTAGTATCCAGGAAGACAGCCACTTTCATACTCGCTGCCGCGAGAACATCAGATCTAAATTATTAATGTTGTTTCTTCGACTGTGTTCCAATTTATTAGCAGGGCAGTGAAAAACACTCAACCCAACTTACAGACTTTGCATAAGCTTCCTATATGCTTTCGGATCCCTTGAGTAGAAGGTTATATTTTATAAGATTAATTAAGCTCCTGGGAAAGCGGCTTGTTAATCATAGCAGGCTAACCAGAAAAGGTGAACAGAAATGCAAGCAATGTTTAAGATGGAGGTCACTGAATGTACCTGAGGCACGTCACCCAGTGGCGACAGTCTTCAATTCTAGATAAGAATCAGTAAACAAAAAATACTTTTGAACATATAAAACAAGATTTCTTCTAATACCGCAAGTGTGAAGTAAAAGACGGATAGGCTGGTTGTTATGAATTGATGTATGCGCATCTGCAAAATATGTGTCAGAGACAGCGTGTGGCGGTTTCCCGAAATTCATCGAGCGGTCTCCTAGCGTGACTTTTAGCCAGTGATCTTCACGTTGCTTAGCCTTCATATCCTCCCTCCACCTGACGGAAAGTGGGCATCTGAAGTCACGAAAAGTTCCGTGTATGTCAGTATCGACGAGTAATAAAGCTCGATTATATGAGTTAATTAGGACGTAAACACGAGAGCGCTATTAGCTGAAGATGATGGCACGAGACAAGAAGTCAGACCAGGGCCAAATTTCAGACCTGAATCATTGGAGTGTAAGCATGAACCCGAAGTTGTCAAAGGCTTGCACACTTTTCGTTTTAACCTTATCGTTGTGTTTCCAAGTTAATTCATTTAATTTTAATATAATAACAAGTGTTACTGAGGACGTCATCACGAAATACAGTTCCGTCTGCGTGTACCTCATGTATCCGAAACATCATCAAGGTACGTGAATCGTGCGTTTTTATAGTAAAGTAAAAACTTTAAACGCAAAAGTGTCCCGTTGCGTGTCATGTAGGCGCTTTAGGGGAGAGGCTGTACAGGTCCTATTCTTTGGACAGGGGATGAGTGGTTAACCCCCTAGAAAGGGCACGTAAGATTACTGAAGTCAATATTAGACACATAAATGCGGAAATGAAATCTCTTCCTTACAGTGTCATATCATCTGGCGAAGATGAAGAAATCTCTGTCAGACAAGGGCGTGTTTGTCGCAGCGAGATTTATAGACCGAGAGCCCGAATACCTTCATTCGACTCGAAATCGACCATTTCATGTCGTTGTCTCCAGTGACATTCATACTAAGTACGCTCTATCACAGGTAAATATACCATTATAATTAACTAACCAACCCCACGACATTTTTTGGCAACGTAACGGATCATAACCTCGTTCACAACAGCCCACCACCAGGTCTCTATCCTGTGCCAGATAAATCCAATCAACATTTTCCAACTCTGTTTCCCTAAGATCAATTTTAATATTATCCTCCCTTCAACGCATAGTAGTAGTAGTGGGTAGTGGGTAGTCTCTTCCCTTGCGGCTTTACAACTAAAATTTCACACTCGTTTCTCTCACCTCTCACTCCTTGACTTCGTTATCCCAGTAATATTTACCGAAAATCACAAATTGTGACGTCATCATTACTTGACATTCTCCAGCCTTGTGTCACTTCATCTCTCTTAGGTACAAATATTCCCCTTAGCATCCCCCTTACGGAAGTCTGATCCATGGTAGAATAAATAACCCTTGCGAGGAGGTAAGCCGAGTTTAAATGAGTTTTATGTTTAATTACGTATTTAAATCTTGAACAGATTATACGATGACGAGGTAAGTCATAATAATATCACACTGGACTCAAAATCCATCAAGAAATCACTTCACAATCCAGGACACAGGCCCTAAAATCAGAGGGGAAAGTCGCTAGATAAATTACACTCATATATTAATCATATTAATATATTAATCGCAGATATCGAAAACGTCCGATCTGTCCAGCGGCACGTGGCTGCTTTTCATGGATACCAAAACATCGCTAGAAGAATTCTTCGCCGACATTCACATCCCTTTCGACAGTGACTTCCTGGTGGCACAACACTCTTCCGGAGTGTCTGAAGAGAATTACGAAGTGTCGCTTACTGAGGTGTACCGAGTACGTGACACTCTGCCACTCCAACATCTTCGCATTGCTAACTGGAGTTCTGTGAGTGGACTAAGCTGGACTACCTCGAACATACAACAGAGGCGAGATCTACAGGGTATCGCCATAAGATGTGTCTTTATTCCAGAAGTATGTATGGGCTTGTAGAATAAGCGTATATTGACGACTAAATGTTTGTGATATTAAAAGAAAAATATATTTTTTGTAAAAATGTTAATTATGTTTTTCCTTTTAACAGCCTCCATATTTATCAGTTGGCGGATACCATGGAAAAGATCCTGTCTACGTGAATGGATACTCCGTAGAATTAATGAAGGTTTTACAATATCGCATGAATTACACGTAAGAACTTTCAGTATTTATTACGAGTATCAAACCGTCGCCAAACGCACGGAGTTACGTTCTTGATAAACACTGCGGTTACAGAAACCAATGTCTTATGTGAAATCGGGGGTTAGGGGAACCGCCATCGAATCGAACTAAAATGCGGATACATGAACTGCGGTTGGCAAAACCGCGGATATATGTAATCCACGGCTGGTCACTGGTTGATGTAGTACACTGATGTGGATAAACTTACCCATTATATGATAAAATGGCCGCATGTGAATATCACTTCGCTAAAACTTGGGCTTTCATAACAGCGAATGTCTTTGTCAGCTTAATGTCTATACATACTTACTCGTTGATTAAGTAATAGACCAATAGAATGGCCTGCTATTAACGGAAGAGAAAAATGACCGGAAGTCACGCTACAGAATCGGTTTTTAATTTGTGATAATGACGTTCTAATGTCCTTGTCGTGAACACTAAAATGTCTAACAAAAATACAATGCATTTCGACAAATTCTTGTTCTAACCAGACACATTAACCCACTAATTCTTTAATTAATTAATATTTAAATTTCAATATATCTCACTAATTTGAGTTTTAAGGTTCTCACGGCGACTTCTATAAAATGTTCATCAGTACCTTCCACAGCAGGGTTCTACATTTCAAAACAAGACAGCCTTTTGATGACAACCTCACATTTTAAGAAAAAAAAGCGACCTATGTCCACAGCTGTTTTATTGATGGTAATAAAATGCGATAAGGCAGGTAAAACACTTTTTCTGTACTGTAAATGATGTGTGGTGTCTCATACGTTCATTTACACACGCATAGTTGCGAGCATTAAAATGCGTAATTTAATATATTTTAATATATACAATATAATCACATACATTAGTAAATTTATATGTAAATTACTCAGGACAAAAGTTTGTCGATACTTCCCTTATTTATAATGATTTTTTTCAAAACTCTGGAGAAACAGCATGTCATTACTCGGTATAATGCAAGTGAGTTATGTACACTACATAGACGGATCACGTTAATTCTGCATAGAAATTTTGCGCACTTCAGCTGTTTTCTAATCACCAGGACAAACTATTACATTCCCGACGAAATATCTTACGGCACCGAAGACGAGAACCGATCTTGGAACGGAATGGTGGGAGAAGTGGTAAAGAGGCGAGCTGACGTCGGTCTGAATCTGTTCATGCTGACCACAAAGAGGGCCGGAGCTGTTGACTTCTTCCCACCGATCTTCAACACCAAGTAAGTTTAATTCGCGCAAGCCATCTCACTGTTTCCAGGGTTTCTTCAAGGACAGAAGCCCTTATTCAGTATTTTAATGACGAGAGGCGCTGGTCTGTCCTCCGTCCATCACCTGATCTCATTACGGTTGTAAATAATGTACCTGTTGACTGATTTTCGTGAAACTCGGTATGAATGTCATGTCGCCGTACGTTCTGTCCCCATTACCATTTCCCTTCAACCATGTAGTGCAGGAAAAGGTCTTATCATTGTCTGTGTGCAGACGGATTACATCTAAGTCTTGACATCCGGACGGGGGTTAAAATGTGGATTTTATTCTTCTGGGTTGTGACACCATGTTATCTTATTTCGGTTGAAAGACGATGATGACATACTTTATTATTATTATTTAGTGTTCTGTCTGACGACAGGTCCATATGAACAGGATCCTTCCATCCTTTTCTCGGACTGGGGCCTGTTCATATACGTTCTTGGCAGATGATCCAGAAGTGGTTTGCCATTGCCTTCTTCTGTGTGTGAATGGAGTAATTGTTGGGATGCCACGGAGGAAAACTCCGTGTTGCCTAGACCACGGCCTTGCCCAACACAAGTACAAGGGTACAAAATTTCACAAGCCACGAGGCAGTAGGGTTACACGTTGCTTTACGACACGTGTTTCTCACGTGAAAGTTAATTTCCATCTGCGGTAGGTTACACTGCAGTGTGTACAACAGGGAACACGATTTTGAAGTAATACTAATTCTAAATCTCGAATTCAACAAAATGTCTTCATTGCAATTTTGCATATTTCTTTGCCACTGAAGTAAACTTATTGCAGAAATAATAATGTGAACACGGTAATGTTCCATAAATGTCTGGGGATCCCTTGACAATCTGAGCGACTGTCAGCTTGTCAAGTGGGACTGTGCTTCATTAACACGTGATAACACGGATTTCAACAGAATGATGGTGCATGTCAGAATGCCGGGCATTGACCACAGCAGCTTCAGGCAGCTGGTGTCACAGTTCACCCCTCTGCTCTGGGTCACGGCGATCATCACAATGGTGATACTGACCTTGTTCCTGTCGGCAACTTGGTACGCCGCAGTTCGTTACAATTATCACCGCGAAGTCGTCAGCTACAGAATGCACGAGTCGTGGATCTACACAGTCGGTATCATCTGCCAGCAAGGTAAGAACTGATGAGAGTCAGGACACACAACTGACTCAAGCCAAATATTTGTGTTCAACGCCGAAGGGCGATATGAGAAATGCGTGCGAAATTCTGGTCAGGAAACCCGAAGGGAAAGATTAATCTTCTGGGTAATGCGTAAATTGGAGGATAACAATAAAACAGACATTAATTAAATAATGTAACGAGGGGCAACAGTAATTACACAAACCACCACAAGACTCCTAAACTAACAACGCCACACACTGAAAAAAAAATTACACGATCCGGTTGGTAAATAATACTTTTTAAGTTTCTCTTGCCTAACGTAAGTAACTTCCATTTGTATGTGTTAGTCTTGCCGCAACAAATAAACCGAAACACACTTAATGAAAATTGAATCACTCTGTAACGCTCGTTAAGCAATGCGCATTGCGCTTTCGACTGTTCCGCAGCACACCACGTGACACCACGGTCCTGGCCCTGCCGCCTCGTCTACCTCACCGTATACGTAACAGCTTTGGTGCTGTTCGCTGCTTATTCGGCGATATTCATCTCGTTTCTGGCTGTCAGAAGATTTCATTTGCCTTTCACGGATTTCCAAGGCCTTCTACAGGACGGAACATACGTGCTCGGTGTAATTAAAAATTCTGAACGTGAATCATATTTCAAGGTAGAGTTTCAGAAGATGCACTTTGTCTTTATTTTGTTAAAATAAATGGTAATACTTAGAGCCCAGTGGTAAATATACGTACCAATTGTTTTAACGATCATTAACTTTGAATCTATTCCACATAGAGTTTACTTGAGAGTTTCAGTCGATTCTCAGAATAAACAGCGATTATTTCCCTAAACAAAGTCAAATAACTGATCTTTGTAATGGTGGAGTTTTGTGTGTTCTTTGTGGTATAGACTGAATTCTTAAACGTTATTTAGAGTGTAAAATTCTCTCATTCCAGAACAAAGCATAACTTAATATTTTTTGTTATTGAAAATATGGTTAGTTTACAAGTTAACATTTAATTAATAATAACTAATAACATTTTATCTTTTACTTTACAGAAAGCCGACATTCCAGTTTTGAAACAAATTTACAAGTCATTAATCGAACCCTACAGATCTGATCCCCCTTTACGAGATGAAGATGGCTTGACGCGCGTCTGTAAAGAACAGACGTACAGTTACATATGCACACAAGTTACTGTTCAGGGACTAGCAAGGACACTGCCATGTAACCTCGTAGAAATTCCTCAAGCCTACTTCTCCGTAACTGTGTCCATGATAATTCAGAAGTCAAGTCCTTTTAAGAGGCTCTTCAGTCATCGGTGAGTTACGTCAGAAAAATACCAGTAGACTGAACTGAAGCTAAGACATGTTCACAATAGCCCGCCACGAGCCCTCATCCCGAGCTAGATTGATTTAATCCGCAACAACATACACTATTCCCCTGAGATTCATTTTAATATTATCCTGTCATCTACGCCTGGCTCTTCCTAGTGGTCCCTTCTTCACCTCAGGCTTCCTAATGACAATTTTGTGTGATTTCTCATCTTCTCCACGCGTGCTACATAGACCATCTTATCGTACTTCGTTTTGATCCTGACAATTTTGTCACTAAATAAAAATAAATATCCCTCCTTTGCAGAACTCTTAATTTTTCGAAAATGTCTGTCTTCTAGGATGTAATTTTTCGTAATTACACGCTTTAAGTTCCGTTTTCTGATGTTCCCGTATTATTTATGTTACAGGCTTCAGGAACTGAAACGCAGTGGACTTGTTGATCGAATAAACAAGCAGATATGGCCAGAGGACACCGATGACGCCGTTCAACAGGCACGACCAAGCGTCACGCTAGGCACGACGGGAATTTTCTTCGTCATCCTTAGCGCCGGTGTAGTTTTATCGGTACTGGTGTTACTGGCAGAGATTTGGTGGCAGAAACAATGTCCTGTGAGGCGGAGGACATCACGAGAAGACTAGAAAAAAGGAACGCAGAAACTTCGGGACATGAATTGTAGTTTAATTTGTTATCTTACTCGCTGATAGCGTTAATAAACTCGGTGTTTCGTTACTGCTAAGTTTATAACAAACACTACGGATTATTTTAACGTGAACTTGTGTTGGAAAAAGCGATTAAGTACCAGCAGCGTGCGTTAGAAGTACCGGACAGGAAACAGGGTTTAGAGACTTCTCAAAGTAAACAAAGAAGATTATTCTGGCTGAAAGTCTTCACATTTGACATTAATTAACAAGGCTTCTCCGGTTTCAGACAAAATACTGCGGCTTACAAACTGTGGCTCGTGAACCAATTAGGTGTAGTAATAACAGCGAGTGGTAGAAAAATACCCTTAATTTCCAGGTTGTGTTTCTGTAACCAGCACAGTGTCCCGAGATGCCAAACCAATGGGTGGCATTTTAAAACGTCAAGATTCTCCCCTGATCACAGTTACATATTATAATAGATCACACATTGCGGTAAATTCCTGTTATTTACCTAACGCGCTGCAATGTAAAGAATTCCACACTCTCATAAAATGGAACAGAAAATAATTCTGTGAAGTGAAAAATACATTAGAAGTAGGACGTTGGGGGGACATGTGGGCGGGGGGAACTCGCGACAGGACAGGAACGATCTGTAATCATTACCGTAAAACCGACCATCGATTCTTGTCTGTCACTCGCTGTATGAAAGGCTCTTAAAAATTCAAGAATTTTGCTGTACTCTCTCCGAGTACTCCGCTGCTGTGGATAAAGATAAATTTTTTTTATCTGTCTGACGTTCAGCGTGTGTCGAGAGTTCTCGGCCGGGCCCTACAATCTGCGGGCAAATTATATAACATGGTTTAGGTGTAAGACGAAACCGAAATGCTGCTTTTGTTTTTAAACAAAATTAACTTAATTTTATTTGCTGAACTTCTATATCAGGAACAAATTATTAGGACTTTTTGGTACAGATAATAATTATTATTATTACTTTCATTTTTTTAATTTTTAAGTGCCAAGAGAAATCTGCATATTACTATCATCATAATTAATTTATTCATCTCTGACCCAGTATTTTGATTGTCTCTGAGTAAACATGTTAATTTATTGCCTTCCACCTCTCTCAGAAACTACAGGGAGAGCCAAAGTACAGAAAGGAACCTATGTGTATAAATATCGCAACACTGTAAAGAATAAATAAATAAATTCACATATATTAATTACCAGGAAACGAGAAATTTTTAAAAAAAATATTAAATATGCGCAAACTACGAAAATTACAAATAATTCTTTGAAATCGTCCTCGGCATAAAATTACTCATCTATATGAAACTGCGGGATATAAAATATGAGACCATGAGACGCGAAGGAGTTATGACATATCTAAAAAATTTAACCCGTTAAGGATCACACACAACAGTATCTAGGAGGGGATGGTCTTAAAAATGTTCCCGAAGGCAATTTCAAACCAATGTGCCTAAGGGGAAGGAGATCAAGACGACGTCGCATGTAGAAATGGGGCGAAGACTCATGACTGCAACGGAGCCCAAGGCAGAAAGAACAAGGAACACCCCTTGGCTAAGGGGTCAGACTACTTTAGAAGGCAAATACGGAGAAATACATCGAATAACTTGCTAGTCAACAAAAGTATTTCAAATTATAATTGATCAGCAAACGGACAGGGTAATATTTGACAGTCCAGTATATTTCAAAGACTTCTCGTGGTCATGTGGACTCTACGACATTTAAGGTTCTTTGCTCTTTGAACACAGCCACACTGAAAGGGCCATCTTGACATTTCTTACCTTTAATCGAACGTAAGGTAGCCTACATGAAACAAGAATACGGAGAAGTATGGTGTTAATAAATACATTTACAGCTTTCTCACTGTACCTTACAGTAAAATACCTTTACGTCCAGGCTTACGATTATAATTATTCTCTAACAACGGTAGCTGCTGTGACAACTGACATTGCTACAAGATACCACATACATAGCATTTACCTGCTACATTCTTCGTATATCAAAGGTAAATTTCGTGAGATTCAATCGAATATTTGTTCACATGTTATAAAATACAAAGGTTTAGTTACGATGAATACATACAAAAAAAAAGTGTCATTTTAAAATTAACCACTTCCACGCTATGAACGAGATTTGTCGCTCTGAAAACGATTTAATTCCTTGTACACGTCTAGGACATGTCTTAGACGTGCTAGATGAATTTTTGAAAACTTTTCTCAGCATCTGATTTACGAAACTGCATTTCAGACGATGCGATAAATATTTACAAAGACGTTCTGAACAAGATGAACGCTAGACTTCTTATGCAGACATCAGTAAAAAGCCTGGACGACATTGTACATGTAGCAGATAAATCTCTCCAGCACCTGCACGTGATATTTTCCAGCGATCGAGAGACACAGCGGTCTATTACTGAGGTGAGGCTTTGTTGTAAAACTGTAATACATTAAAATCAAACACAGAGCAACGAAACATAAAGTAACGTAACGTAACGTAATAAACCATTACATAACACAGCATAAAAAAATAACGGTGGGTTAAGCGACGAGTTAACGATCTACTGTGCATCTCCTTTCCAATTGATCACCGAGTAATCCTTCACCCATAAATGAGAGAAGTTTTTGGCCCACTGGGGTCTTGTGGTTGCAGGTTGGGCTCATGAAATGGTCTCATACAGAGAATGATCACAAATATAACGGCGAGGTGTATTCAAAAACAAAATTTAACACTGAAATACCACCGTATCTTTACTAATTAAATTTATATTTAGACATGTAATCACGCCTATAATGTACGTAGATGTGTTAAAAAGCAACGAGGTTTAAAATCCTCCGCGGCCAATGACTGCATCTCACAGCTGATAATTTCTACACTTATCACACATTTCAGGAATATTTTTGCTTCAATCCGACACTCCTAAGAAATTACTCGTGTTTTATATCCATGCAGATTTCTAGCACAAACAGACTCATGAAGAGAAGATGGCTCTTGTTCCTGGACTCAACGACTACACCGAAACAATTTTTCGCCCGCATTTTCATTCCGTTCGACTGTGAATTCCTGGTGGTACAGACGGAGTATGGGGACGTGGAGGTGTCGGTAACAGTGGTATACCACGTGCATCCCACCCGACCACTACAGATGTACCACGTGGCCAACTGGAGTTACGGTAGCGGCCTCAGTTGGTACACGATCCCATTTCATCACCGCAGGAGAAATCTTCAAGGAATCGTCCTGAAGGGAGCATTTATTGAAGATGTAAGTGAAAATGACTCATGGCTGATACATACTTCACGCAGCGCGTTCCAGATCGTCTACTATACATTTGCGTTTATGTGTGAACAATTGATCTCCATTCTGCTCACAGGCTCCATACGTGATGAACAAACGGCCCAG